TGCTGTTTTTTTTTGTTGGAATATGAAATTTTAGATTGTTGGAAAATTCTTCGCAGATGAGCCAGACAGCTTTCTAGGCCACAACTTGCTATGCCACTTTTAGTTAACTGTGAAATGGTTAACTGAGTCTTAGTTTCACAAGGTACATTCCAAACAGTCATCCCTTTGGTATATCTGAGTAAAAAGGTCTAAGTACACTTGACTTGTTCTCGAAAGAAATTTGTTACTACCCACCTTTAGTTGAAGCTTAACTCGAGGGGGTTTTTCGGCATAAACATCAGCATTTACGTCCTTACCTCCTTAAAATACATATGTGGCTTAAATCCAGTTTTGTTCAGTGCTATATGTATATTATTGAGAACTCAATAAACGGGCGGAAATTTCGCACAGCTTCACTACGTCGCGGTAATCGATAGCAATAACCACAACCAAACACAGTACATAATAAATTAAGAGCCAATGTTTTTTATTTTTTTTTTCATTTTGGCAATCCATCAAAGCCGCGGGAGAAGTGACCGCGAGAACGCTGCTCGTAAGTAGTTAAGAAAAAAATCACAAAATCTACAACAACAACATTAGGGAAACACTCCCAGCCAAAGCTTTGAGCTGCACTGCGTGAAAACGAGTAAATTGCAGCGTCGGCGGCGCTGCCGTTTGCTGTTGATATCTCAATTATTGTCACTGCATATCCTTATATGTTGGCAACGCATATTTGCCAGCAATTGTGTGCTACCGTCGACAGCAACAACAACAACAACAACAAGAGAATGAAGAAAAAATCACTTATCAGCAATGCGAGTGCGAATTAAATGTAGAATGGCTTTTATTTGTTCTTTTTTTGTTTTTTTTTTTTTTAGTTTTCGAACTTCTTGTTGCTGTTGCTGTTGCAAGTCATCGTCGTCGCCGCTGTAACGAAATTATTGCAAACGTACATGAGAGAATTTTAAACATTTTACACGGCATTGCATGTAATGAATACAAATAAATGTAAGTAAGTATTTATTCCATGGAAATAAGCAAATTGCGGTGCAACGTCGATGACAAAATCGAACACACTGAGTGACATAAAATCTGTAGTTCTCCAAAAAAGAAACTGATTTAAGTTGGTATTGATATCTTTACATACTTTTATCGCCCCTTAATGATACTTAACCACTTTTACTTTCTCGTATGGCAAGCCAATTACTTTTTTTCCGACACCAAGTCAGCCCATTCAAAGAGATCGTACTCGCGGTTGTCGTTATGGCCGAAATGTGCCATTTTTGGTAAATTTTTGAAATTTGGTTAAATGAAAAAATTATTTCGTTCATTCTTATAAGCGATTTCGAAACAACCTTTGGCTAGGTTTTTTTCTGTAGATATAGCAGAGTTTTTATGGTTTCAAAATTGGTTGAAAATTACTGCCAAAATCGTCGTTTCCGTATTTGTGTATAGTTGTTGTTGCAAGCTGCTCCATTTGTGTTGTTTTCGCAGTTTGTTTTACTGCATATTAAATCTTATTCAGACACTGGGACTTAATTACCGAAATTTCCTGATAGTTATCGAATTATAGAAATTTATCGGATTATCGAATTTCGTCAAGTTAATGGAATTTACTTAGTTATTGATATTTATTGAAATACCAATATTTATCGTGTCATCGAAATTTACAGTTATCGAGTTAACGAAATTTATCGAGTTAGAGTAATGTGTGGAGTTTTTGGAAATTTTTTGGTAGTTGTTTATCGAATCGAACCTGTTGGAATTTTCAAATTAAATTGAGTTATCGAAATTTTTAGCGTTATACAAGTACACAGAGTTGCCACTATCTATCGTGATATCGAATTTTATCAAGTTAGCAGAGTGTATCGAATTATCGAAATTTATGGAGCTACCAAAATCAATAGAGTTATCGAAATTTATAGTTTTCAAACGTTTATAGAGTTATCGCTAGATATATAAATCGAGATATGAAAATTTTTGATTTATTGATAAACAACAACAATTTCCAACAATTCAGTTTATAACTTTACCCGCTTCTGCGCCCGAATTCGTCTGCGAACACTAGATTTCGAGGCAGACAAAAAAGTGTCTATGTTGTATATACAACATTATAAATATATAAAGGGTAGCCAAACGAATTCCTATCCCTTTCAACGAAAACGTGCAAAGGAAATATAATGAAAAAAATATTTTATGTCCCTAAACCAAGACGTTTACCACTAGAAAAAGTGTCCGTATTTTTATTGACACGGCGAACAAGATTTTCTCCGTTCCCAAGACCATTTCTCCCGCCATTCTTTTTGTGCTGAAAGCTCCTGCAAAGCGGGGAATTTTTTTTTTCTAGGAACACCTCTTCCAGGACGCTTGCTTGCCTTTCCTTAGAGGTTGTTCTCCAAACCATGTCGTCTCTGCCAACCTAACAGATGGGAGTCCCGGTTTTGATTGCCACCCCGTCTGCTTGTGTTCACTCTGCCCTGACCAGTGACTTCTCTCATGAAGTTCAGAAGAACTTTTTTTGCAGGCTGTACTATGACAATGTGTAAAGGGATCAGGTCGACTATGACTTCCAAGGCTGCAGTGGGGCAAATGCACATGGAGGACGTCTTGCTCAAACTATGTTGAAATTGGTCGCCTTGAAATAGTCTAGAGTCTTATGTTTCCTGGTGAATAACGTCAAGTCCACTTTTTTGTTATTTATGCTTACTCCGACCTCATTGGCTCATCTATAAATGGATGTGAGCGCCGGATTCATTAAGGAGATCAGTGTAACTATACATTTATCACTCCACAGTAGTAAGAATAGTGCACCATCTTGCTGACGCGTTGGCTAAGGCCGGAGCATCTTTTGATACATCCGAAGCAGAGACTATAAATTGTCCACTCGAACTCATCAAAAGGGTACTGCATCTGCAATTCACACTTATTGCTGATACACGTTGGAACAACCTTCAAGCCCGCAAAACTAGCGGCATTATGGCAGGCCAAGGACAGAAAAACTTCTCAAGAGGTTCAGGAAACATATAGTCAAATTAATAACCACGATAGCGGGACATTGGCCCATTGGTGAACATGTAGCTAAAATGGGCCCTCGGGGCCGTAGCTGTCATCTTGAGGGAAGTAAGGAAACGGTCCTACACTAGCTTTGCCAGTGCACAAAATTGGCACAAATAAGGCACTCGGGTGTTTTTCCATGCAAAATCTTGGGGAGACTTCCAAATTCACCATTACTAACATAAATAGATTCATCGGAAAATCTAAATGATTTGACGAACCCAACGAATCATAAAAGCAGATAAAATCAAGAGTCCCAGAGGAAGAGTATCAAAATGGTGCTTTCAGCACTAATTGGGTCCGGGGAATGTACTCAGGCGACGCTTCTACCAACCAAACAACTACTCTATTCGTCCTACCATATTGTGCAGTGTCTACTAATTTTCCTTTGGTGTAGGCATGCTGTTCTTTTTGAGAGTCACCCCTAAGCTGCATTAAGCTTTCTATTAACCGCTGAGGATAAAGGATATCAAACTGATTGATCCACATATAATCCTTCCAATACAAATGACTACTTTTATCCGCCTTTGAAAGACAACCCGCGCAGCGCTCGTACATTTTACCAGCCATTCTACTACCTCAGGATATGCTTCCTGCAGTCCGAGAAAGAGTTTTCTGCACACTTTCAGTTTGACAAATACAGATATCGAACAATCTAGGCAAACGGTGGAAAGTTTAATTACGTACGCCAAAATTCAACGCCCCAAAGTTTAAATAACTTTCCCCTCGCGCTGGAAATTTTAATTCACGAAACTCAATGTTTTATTTACGAAAATTCACTAAAGTAAGAGTATAAGGCAAAAGCCAAAAGGTTTTGTCTGGCTTGTATTGGTTATGTCACAAACCCTTCAGTCGGTAGTTGCTTCAAAAAATCATCTAATGCTGGAATCGCGTAGGCGGTTGCAGCGCCTTTGCTTTTATCCCATATTTCTGGTCCTCAAATACAGTAAGCACCAAATACTAGTCGGGATCTTCGCCCATTCAGTGATCTTGGTCGGTTCGAGATCGACAGCATTATTTGCGCCGAAAAGCTAGTGGCGGAATGGTCAGTATGTGTTTTTCAAAGACTTGCCCTATACTAATACTATCTTTTTTTCATAGTTAGTCTTAGAAGAATCCGCCTATTTCTCTACCTCCAATCACTAAGCAGCATTCTAAGCACAATCTAAAGCAAGTCAGCACTCTAAAGTGATTGAGAAATTATAGTGACCGTCATCATATCGTCCCAGACGAGTTGCATTTAAGTTGTCAATGACGATTGCCGGCCTGACTACTATTTCGGACAGTCGGTCGATCATTTGGGACGGCTGTGTCGCCAACAATTGTGCGCGCGCTTCGACCGACAGACGCCCCAAACGATTTGAAAATTATCGAACAGTCTACACCTAACCACCGCTCGTCCAGCTACACGCAGACAATGCGCACTCTCACAGCATCCAACTGGTGTCAAGCAAATCAACGCTGGAATTTCGCGCAATCCAATTGTTTTGGTCAAAGCAATTTCGCTGCTTGCCTGCTTGTTGCTTTGTTTGTGCACGCTGAGTGGTAAGTAAAATTAAAATAAAATTTGTACGAGTAAGGTTAAGAGATCGGGCGGCAACCAAGCAACCGTGCCTTGGCGTGAATTTGGTGGAATTGGCATGGCGTAGCACGGCAGCAACTTATCAAAGTGACACCAAACAACGTCAGCAAATTCCAGCAAATAAAAATTTCACTCTCAATTGCGACGATTGCAGCCGCCGAAGCCGCCGCTATTCACGCATGCCACAACGATTAATGAGCGCGACAGCGGCAAGTGATGGCGTAGTTGGCGACAGTGATTGCGCGGCGGTTGGCTGGTTGGCTGCTGCTCGGATTTCAGGAAGCTTTTGAGGGTAGCCACAGTGGGATTTGGTTGGTAATCGTGTGCAATATGTTACCGATATGTTGGAAAAGTTGTCTACAGGTCTACAGATCACAGTGCCACAGTATGGCCGTTGAGTCGCTTCGCAAAGAAAGACATTTGAATGCTAACGCGGCTTGCGAGGTTTATAAATTTTTCGCTTTTCGGCGAGACGACAACGCATAAAATGAGACTGTCAGCGCGAACAAGCAATTGTCTTATTGAGCCAAAGTGACCACGGCGTCAATGGTACACCGATGCAATAAAGAATTAGTGGCAGTGCTGGAAATTGAGGTGACATTGCCATTAAGTCGCGCATGCCATTCAGCTGCAACAGCGGCTGGCTACTTGGTGAGGTAAGTAAATGTACATACATATTTTTAAAGTATTTTAGTTTCCGACTCCTGAGCTACTTACAGCTACGAAGTATAAGCTGGGAAAATAAGTACTCTCAGGCCAGCTAAATTAATAGCCCGATTATTGATGAATTCTCAATAAGAACAATGCTCAGCAAATACTTGTACGAGTCGCGACGACTGTACGCACCAGCTGACGCTTGCCAGCAACCGCAAAGGCACCCTTGCGCAGGCGCTGTGGCTATCAGATGGGTTGACATACGGAAGTGCATGATAAATGCAGCGCTCAAATGCATAATAAAATTAAATAAAAAGAAAAAGAAAAAATACACGGTATGCAAATGAATTGCCTTAATTTTAAATGTCAGCCGAAAAAATGTGCCCACATAAATAAGCAAGTTGCATGCAACACGGTTTCTTGCGAAGTATATCCCCCTCAGTCCCGAGACTAAAATAATTGAAAACCAAAAAAAAAAATCATGTTTTTGCGTTATATTCTTCCCAAATAATTAGAAAACCCATTTTTTTTTATTGTAGCATATAAGGATTCTTAGCACTGGCAGGTGCAGCCAGCTGGACATTTGGATCGTATGCCAACGAAAAAGCAACTAATTTTTAAATTAAGAGTATTTTAAAACATTCAGTTAATTTCAATAAACGGTTAACTTAGTACTAATTTCTTACGAAGGGAATTCCATAAAACAGTGTCTATCGCTGGCAATGCACAAAAACACATTACAAGAAACGCATTTGAATCTGGTTTTTTGGTTACATCCTTCTTTACGGCATCTTATAAATTTGTTTTTATCCTGGACACCACAGATGGGTAAGTGTCTATTTTCAGTCCTTCTCACATCTTTTGGGGGTAGGGGCTGTATGGACCTAACTCTTTTTGTTGAGATATCGTCTTCGATTTCGATATCACTTAGCCTTCTTTTACCAGCACATGCGGACAAACATTCTCCTACGTACATCTTAAAATCTAATAGGTCCATCAACTCGCACCTCCTTGCACCACAGGAAAATTTGTCTTTTTTATAAAGAACCCAGGAATTACACAGTGCGAGATCAACCATATGCCAAAAAACTCGTGTGGGCCACTTCTTTGTTCTGATGTTAATACGGTAATAGGATATCAACCTGTCCGCAAGATCTACGCCTCCCATTGACGTGTTGTGACTTGCTACGAATACGGGGACAATTGACATTTATGTAATTTTTGGCTTTCTTATCCCATCGACGAACAGATATAAGTGGTCGTGCTCCAGTCGACGTGGCCGCCATTAGAACCGAACGACTGTCTATCCATTTTACAATGCTAGTTTCTCATCTTCTCTCACAAATTCATTGAAGGTACCTCTGCCTCTTTTTAGAAGATCATGGTCGGTTGAAAGTTTTGGTCGCAGTTCTTTGGGGATTCGGTTTTGTTGAATCGTGCCCGTAGCATATATTCCATTTTCCAGCAAAAACTCTAGTAGTTTTATCGAAGTAAAATATCGGTCAATAAATATTTCGCTGCCTTTACTAATATTTTCTGCAAGTCTTTGCACTACTGTTCCTCCGATACCTAAATCGTGGTTGCAAAATTTTTCAAACCAACAGGACAGGGTTTCCCCTTAACATATTGTTTCAATTGCGTGGTACCAGAGAATGGAATCATTTGTTCATCGATGCTCAGTTTTGCTGGCTTTGGTAGCAATTGACATTTTTTCAAAACGGCTTTTATTATTGGTTCAACTTTCCACAATTTGTTGTTTTCTTTTTCTTGTGGTGTAGCTCTTAAGTTGTCGACAAAATGCATATAATTTCTTAATTTAAAAACTCGATCCCTTGGTATCTGTGTAATGGCTGGAACATTAATAGCAGGTCGGTAGTACATCCTTACGCGCGGAAGTTTCATGCAACCAGCAAGTATGTGGGCCCCAGATAGTTTCTTGTACTCATTATAGTTTGAATACAAATTTTGGCCGTTTTATAGAGCGAACGTATTACTTTGTTGTGAAATTTCGCGCCAAAAATCGTCGTCAAAATACTCCGAGAAATATTGGAAAGGTGTCCACTCAAATCTATCTTCTGCGTTCCATGCCTCGTCGGCAGCGGGAGTATTACCCACGACAAATTCTTTGGCTAGCCATTTAAGCGGTTTTTTATTTTGAAGATTTGAGGGGCTTTCATTTGCATCAACCAACTCTTGTTCAGCAATATTTTCTTCTTCATTATCAGATTCTGCATTGTAGTCAGAATCGGAATCACTTGAAGAAGCCACATTCGAACAATTAGGAACAAGTTCCAAGTCTTCATCGTCGGACAAACCTTCAAAATCACTGTCCATGAGCATCTCCATCACCTCTTCTTCCGTAAAACGTTTTTTCGACATGATAGCTACCAAATGTCCAGCCCACTGAACATTTAAGAAACAGTATTCATATCCGAATTTTAATAAACTTATTTAAAAGATTTTTTATTTACCTTAAAGAACAAGTATTTTTTCGATTGAATTTAATAAAATATTAAACTTGATTTGAAGAAATATAGCGAAAATATTAATTTGAAATTACATTCACAAGGACCACACGTTTTTTCAAATAACTGTTCACTTCTTGGATCGTATTACGACAGTATTGCCACAAACGCAAAAAAAAAAAAATTCAATTGTAGACTTAAGATGTTCAGCTGGCTATAAAGTTGGATCGAATTGAAATAAATTTAAAATTTTTTATTATATGTCCATTTAAAAAGTGTCCAGCGGGCTACACGCGAGGACCGAGGAGGATATGAGTAGCTCATGACGTATTAATTGATCGTGGTGATCAGCAAGCTACCAGTGATCGATCAGCTGGAACGTATGATGTGTTGCAAACAGGGAAGATCTAGAAGCGGAGCTGAGTGATAGGCAAAGAAAAATTTTATATAAGGCGAAACACTTCTGGAGATAAAGAAAGCTGCCGAAGTTGTGGCTTTTTTCATTTACTAAAGATAAGTAAAAGCATTCCAGAAATCCTTAGTTTTAAGTTGAAAGTCCTTCTGACTTGGTGGAGAAACTAAATTGATTTGAAGTTCTATATAAAAGTTTAGATTCCACCTAGGCACTGATAAAGGAGTTTTTTCTCTATGTTCCCCTGCACGAGCTCAATAGCGATGCAGGTTAAACTGGCTTTTACTTTTACTGTCCAATCTAATATTCCATACCTGAAGTGAGATAAGTAGTAAAATATGTAAGGAAAATATCAACGTCCCTTTATTTCACAAACTGTTTATTGAGGAAGGGTGCCAAGTTTAGAACTCGATGTATAACTTTTAGAGTGTTCCTGGTCCCTCTGCACCAGGTTAGACAATAGTTAGGTTCATACCTATAAAAGCACACTCACTGAGTGGGGTTAACTCGCCTCTGCTGAGGTTGAATTTCTGAGATAAGCCTAAAGATGAGATAAAGGGATAATAAAAAAGGCATACGTGGGTGGCATTACTACTTTTAAAACTTTTCAGCACTTTGATGGACCTTAGTAGTTTGTGGATGGAAATATAACTCACATCCTCATTCCTGTTCTAGCGTCGGACAGCAACAGAGAAAAGCGCCGTACTATCCACGTCCAGCGGGCAAGATGTACGCAATAGACTGTCGATGATACCACCTATGACGACCATTTGTTGTCCCTATGGCTTGTGTCACCTAATAAGCCCTACTAGTTAGTATTCGTTGCTCCCTTATTTTCCTTTTTGAGAAAGAATTTCGATTTTACTCTGTCTAGCCTTTTCAGGTGACGTCGGTATGGCACTAAAGTTTTTCATGAGACCTATTTACATATAAGTTTCCTAATGTACCTGGAAGCTTCTGCTGTTATTGGCCTCTTAAGTAGCTTCGATCAGCCAGTACATTACTTTGAACGCCTCAGTGTTTAGGCACACGTATGAGTACAAAGTTATTTCACTTTGCTACGGAATGCGGCCGAAACTTATATTCGTACAGAATTTTTGAAAGGATATGCGCAAAGCTGTAAGGGTACGCTCACACAGAAATCGAAACCGAGCCGGGCGAAGCCGTTCCGTGCTGAGCCAAGCTTTCGAAAATTGCTATAGCTATATGAAAGTGTTCATACAGCAAACTTTTTTAGAAATATTTTGGAACTGAAAGCAATGCCGTTTTTGATTTTGAAATTTTTATTTAATTTTTTAGCTTCATGACGCAGCTGCAAACAATATATCCAAATATTCGAACAAAAACTAATTTGACAACTAATCTTTTGAATAAAATTTACGAATTTTTTTGCCGCTTTTCATTGACGGTTTTTTGTGATATCTTTGCAGCTGAGTCCATCAGCAAAGCTCCGCTTCGCTTCATTCAGTGTGAATACCAGCAGCTTCGCCTTGTTCCACCTAGCTTCGCTCGACGCCGCTCGGCACCCTGTGTGAACGCACCCTAAGAGTGCTTTTGGCCAATTAGTCATCGTGCGGCTTTATATATAGCAAAGACCTCCCATCGAAATACTGTTGTCATTGTCCCTAACTCAGAAAAAGTTCAGATAGTTACTCCCAGGCAGCCCTCTACAGTTGTAAGGGCGCGATTGGGCGAAGCAAAGGATTGTTACCTAGCATCATGAATTGGCTATACACGGTGGTTCTTAGGCCTATTGTACTCTACGGAGTCTTGGTATGGTGGCCAAGGAAATCCACTACTAAATCATTTCAAAAGGTGGAAAGAACTGCGATGTCCTGCACGTGTGGCAGTGTGCGTGTAGCTCAATATTCTTCCAATTGATATTGTTGAAAAACAATCACCGGGTTGTGCCGCCTTGAGGCTGCTTAAGCTATCAGACTGGAGAGAGACATATACCGGACACGGATTACTGTGCATCAAGTCTTAACATCACAAAGAGATATAGGATTTGCATTCCAGATGCAGAATTTTGGTCGGAGGGGCTCCACTTCTACACCGATGGATCTAAGCCGAGCGAGCGGCAGTTAAAAAGAAGCAACAACGGTGATATTTGAGAACAAGGAAC